TTCAACAGGAAAAAGTCAGAGATGATCCAGGCCCAAGCATACCTCATAGAAGTAGACACGTACCTGCAAGGTTACAAGATTGTTGATGACGTCAGATGATGTAGTTGATAATGAACGTGAGCTAGTACGCTATGCTTTTTATGAATATTTTGAACCAGTCAATGCAGTTAAGGCATTGAAGAATTTGAAGTGGGTGAAAGCAATGAATGAGGAATTGAAGTCCATCGAAGTCAATAAAACTTGGCCACTTGTACAAATGCCTAAAAGCAAGAAGATAATTAATTTCAAGTGGGTATACAAGGTGAAGTTGAATCCCAAATAGTAAGAAACTCGACACAAGGCAAAACTTGTGGCGAAAGAATTTCTCCAGAAAGAAGGAATCGACTTTGATGAAGTTTTTGCACCTATTGTTAGGATCGAAACAAGGGGAGAGAAGAAGATAGGGTCAACATTGAACTTAGGGTTTAGAGGGTTAGATTGCTACTTTTTATCTTGTAAACTATATTTGCAAAGGTTAATTTTAATTATCTTAATTCCTTTGGAATTGGGGGCAGACGTACCCATAGTGAGGTCGATTGGAAAACTGCCTAAACAAATTCTTGTGTGTGTGTGTCTCTCTCTCATTTATATTTACTTCTAAATTGTGAAATAATTGATTATGTAATCGATACATAGAGATAATATCTTTATTTAATAATTCAAATTGTTGAGTTGATTACAATCTATGTGATTGTAATTGAATTTACATAGCAATAAAATCATAGAAAAATATGTTTTGAATCGATCGCACACCAAGTGTTCGACAAATTTCTTTAATCAATTTTTGTTTGATATTTCATTAGAAATAGATTACTATTGTATGATGTAATTCAAATGTGGTTGCTGAAAATATATTGATTGTTTTTCTCATCTTACTTATTCATTATATCAGTTTAATGCATATCCAATCTTTTCGATAACGGTTCGGATAAATGATTGTCGATCCGGGTTTGTTTTCACACGCCATTATTAAAACTTTTTTAAACCAAAATTTTAAATAAGAAAATTTCAGTTGAAATTTATTCATCTTCCCTTTATAATATAGCCTATCATCTAACAAGTGGTATCACGAGCACTGGTTTATCTTGTGCTTTGAAATTTCTTATTAGATTATGGCTTCTAAACCTAAAGCGGCATATGATAGAGCGCATATTTTCAATGGCGAAACTATGATTATTGGAAGGATTGTATGTGTGTCCATATTAATTATATTATAGGAAAGTATGGAACGCCATCCAAAATGGTCATTTTCAAATTACCATGACCAATGTGGACGGTGTTGTTGTACCTAAATCGGAAGCACAATGGAAAACAGATGGTGAGAAATTATTGTTGTATGATTAGAAAGCAATGATTATTTTCATATCATATTTAAGAGTTGATGAATATTATCGTGTTTCCCATTGCACAATTTTCAAAGTTGCGTGAGACTCATTGCAAGTTGCCCATGAGGGCACAAATGAGGTCAAACAAGATAAAACCAACACTTTGAACTAAGACTTTGAACTATTTCATATGAAGCATGGTGAAATAATTATCGATATGAAAAAGAGGTTCACTCATCTTGTTAACCATTTAAATGAACTTGGTAAGGCAGTTTCGAATTAAATTGCTACTAGCAAAGTGTTGAGATGCCTTAATAGTGAGTGAAAATTAAAGGTCACCGTAATCAAGAAAGATAGTGATCTACTGACATTAGATAGTACTATTTTATTTGACAAGCTTGAAGAATATGAGCAAGAGTTCATTTGGTTAGAGAAGTGTGAGAAGAAGATTAAGAAGGATAAAAACAAGGGAAATGAGGTAGACAAGAAGTCTATTTACCTTGTGACTTGTAGCTCTAAGTACTCTACTATATAGCAAGATGATAGTGGAACTAGTGATGATGAGTGTTCAGATGATGAAGAAATGAAGTTGTTTGTTAGAAGGTACCATAAATATATTAAAAGAAATGGATTGAAGCATTCTGACAATAAACTCATCAACTATAGACGGCAATCAAATTACTTAAGACAAGATGAAAATAAGAAAGACAGGTCTAAAGGTTCATGCTATAATTATGGAAAGGTCGGTCACTACAAACAAGATTGTCCATTTCTTAAAAAAGATAAAGGAAATGGTCAATACAAGAAGTCTAGCAAGCCTGAAAGAGCGTATATTGCTTGGGAAAGTGATAGTGAGTCCTCAAGTGATAAAAACTCAAGTGATAGTGATGAAACGGTAAACTCTTGCATCTTGATGCATCTTCATAAGAGGAAGAATGTAAGTCATTCTAAATATGAACCTATTGATAAAATGTCTTATTCTGAATTATAAATTGCTTTTTAAAATCTACATGGTGAAGCCGTATAAGCTTTTAAAAGGTTGGCTTCAAACAAAATAATTTTTTTCATACTTGGAAGCCAGAGTTTTAGAAACTGATAAACAAATGGAAGCTCTTAAGCAATCCATGTTAGGTATTCAAAAATTTAAGAATGAGGATGAAGAACCTTCTTGGTTTGGTTGTGAAATTTATCACATTTGGCAAAAAGAGGTTAAAACTCTAAAAGTTAAATTGGACTAGGCTTTAGAATCAAAAGTTACATTTGTTATTGATCCCACAAAATTTAAAAAAATCTTTAAATCCTCCATACAAAAAGTATAGCTTTGTCGAAAAGAAATCAAATAGTAAAAGTCACTCTCATCATAACTTGACTTGTCACTATTGCTGCAAGAAAGGTCATATCATTGCAAAATACGAATTTAAGAGATTTATGGTTCCTAAAGGTGTGTTTTAATGGTTGCTTAAATGCAACTAAGTTTTTACTAACTCTCAAAGATCCGATGAGAATTGGATACCTAGCACTCTTAATTGATTTTGTAGGATAAATGTCTTGGCTCCATAGGGAGAATATGGATTTTTGATAGTGAATGTTCAAGGCATATGACGGGTAACATTTCTCAAATTCATTAATTTTGTGACAAAGAAAAAGAGGTATGTCTCCTACGAAGACAAAAACAAGGGTGTTATACTTGGTAAAGATAGTGTAGGTAAATCTCTCTTCTGTTACTATCTCTATTGTTTCTTGTTGTTGAAGATTCTGTGTATGTCTCTTTTGATGAATCTTATCCTAGAAATGTTGGGAAAGGTATTACTTTTATGATGCAAATGTATCTTCGAAAGACATACTCAATAACACTAAAGAATGAACTAATCAACCTGAAGAGGAGGAGGATGATTCTGAAAATTAGAATGAAAATCCAACTGAAGTGGATGATCTTCTGATATCAAATCGGTAATTCTTGGAGATATCACCAAACGTGACTACAGACTCTAAGATAACTAAAGAAGGGATGTTCATGTGTCTCTTGACACTCCAATACCCATAAATGAGAACTTAGACAAAGATGGAAGTGGTGAAAACATTGAAGTTTAACAAATTTAAAGACACAATTTATAGTTGTTTCAACTTTGGTTGAAAATTCCTTATTTTATAAGTGTTATGCATGGCTCAAATTTAAGTTTGATATTTTCAGTAATATTAAATATAAATAAAATATGTTTTTTAAACTGTTACATCAAAATCAAACAATATTTATTAATGTGACTACGTGATTGCAGAAAAGTTATGATTACATAGAATCTATTTTCAAAAATGAATAGTCAATCCATGTTACTTGTATTACTGTCATTATTTGTAATATTTTTCAACACTGTTCTCTAAAAGAAGGGAATTTTTTTTGCTTAAACTGCTCTTTGAGAGTTTGGAGAGAAATAGTAAAGAATACAAGAGAAATTTTCTTCCTTATTTAAAAATCTTTCATCAAAATTAAAATGATTTTATATTATGAAAAAAAATTAAACTCCATAATTTTTCTTTTATGTGTTTTGTAAAAATAATGGTTGTTTGATAAATTAACTGATAAATTTTTAATTTATAATTGATGGATAATAACTGATAGATTATAGTGGATGATAAAGACTAATAACTAATAAATCAATTAAAATATTTGATAAATTAACTATTCAATTAGTTTATAAATATAAAATAGCATAAAAAATATTTAATATATAATTATCTTATTTTAAATTAAAATAAATTATAAAAGATGAAAGTGAATTTTTATTAAAATAATAAAGATAAAAAAGAAAGATAAAATAATAAATTATAAGTTAAAATGTTATTTAAAATAGAGTTCCGAAAAGTAAATTATAAACTCAGAATGAAAAAATCTTTACCAAATTGGTCTAAATTGTCATAAGAACTTATAAACTATAAATTCAAAAAAATATCTTACCAAACACAACCTTCTTCCCTTTTTTTCTTCCTTCAAAATCCTCCCCTCTTAATCTCCCAAATATATCCTAAATAAATTGTAAGTTACACCTTCCGAACACATTTATAAGCAACAAAAATAATTTTCACACTTATTAAAAAATTCAACCATGTGTAGTTAATTTTTTAGATTTTAGTGAAAACATTATTAAATTTACTATAATGGTCCTTCTTTTTAAATTTAATGGAATACTGTTGCTTATAAATATGTCCAGAAGATGCACCAATTAGGGTTGATAGTATCGTAGTTATATCTGCAAGTCTATAAAAATTGTATATTATATAAATACATATGAAATCTGATTTGGCACAACAGCTTCTCTTCAAGCAATGCCTAGAGAATAGGACAGATCCAGTTTGTTATACATTCCTGCTCCTGTACTCCTCTAAACACCTGCAGAGTTCGATGAACAGTGGGTTTGGCAAAATTCCAGTATGAAGATCACGGTGGCTCACTGTAATTCAGACAATCTCACCGCCACTCCAAACAAGCACATTGATTCCCACAGTCTAAAAACAGTTCAGACCTTACTCTTTTAACTAATCAATTATATTTTCTATAAGCTCTAAATTCTAAACTGCAATAATCGATTCTTAAGGACTCAAATCCATCAAAGATCTATGTGGTTGATTTTCTAGAATCCTTCATCCACTGGCGTCATCAACATTGAAACTTCTATCAATAGCATAATTCACAAAACTGTATAGAGGCAACACTTGATCTCCATACTTCTCAAATCCATCCAATTCCTCCATAGCCTTTGCTCTAAGTTCTTCAGCTATCTCTGCTGCTTTTTCAACCCCATAAACGCCTACATAACTCTTCCCTCTGTTTTTCCTGTCTTTATCTCCCTCAGGTTTCAACCTCTCTTCCAAAATATCATCCACAACTGCATACAATACTCCAACAGCTCTACCGTACCTCCTCAGTCTCTCTATCTCATCATCTTTGGCACCGGCCAACAATCCTCCACACACTGCAGAACACTCCCCCATTTCACCAAACTTTTTATCTTGTATAAATCCAACTGCATTTGGACCCCCTTCAAGGTCCAAGAACTGCCCTGCAGCCATACCAGTAGAGCCCACAGAGCGGGCAATTTCAGCAATCACACGAAGTAGACGGGGCTCAGGTACAAGGTCAGAGGGAGTATGTGAAACAATGTGTTGAAATCCAAGGGGAAATAATGCATCACCCGCAAGAATTGCCATGTCAACACCATAGATAGTGTGGTTTGAGGGGTGGCCACGGCGTGATGAAGAGTCATCCATACAGGGAAGATCATCGTGTATCAACGAAGCAGCATGAACCTGCTTGCAACAAAAATATAAGTTCCAACATTAGAACAATTTATCATCACCTCGTTGTGTCCATTAAGGAATTATTACAATCATTCTTAATAGACTCATCAAATGGTCAATTTAGGGACTATTTTAACTTTAAGCAGAAACAGCTAGCAATAGAGCAATTCTTCAACTAAACATGCAACTAATGTTATTATCACTAATCAATTAATGTTAGATTTGCTACGCATAGCCGGTCCCAAACCCGAATAAAATAAGAGGATTGGGTTAGGCTGTCAACACCCAACGTAAAACTTTATCGAATCTCAATGATATTGATCAACTACAAACTAATGAAAATCAAAAAATGGAAAGACAAAGGAAGTCAAAATAAAAAATAAAGCTCGTCTCTCTCATGGTAGGCAATTAGGAATAGGTTTATTTGATAGATAAATGTAAAACTCTAGCAGCTCAATAACATAAGAAAATAAATTTGTGACAATGAATAGACAAACTAAAAACATAATGCAATACAATAAAATTGAAATGGCAGTATATAGAAAGAAGATTACCATCTCAAGAGCACAGGCAGTGGGGAAGGCAGCAAGGCGGCTGCCCCCAAAGAGTTCACAAGCAGAGATGCACATAACAGGTGGGGCTCGCTTGGCACCTTTGGCAAGGGAAGAATACCTCATAGCTTCATATATCTGCTGAGGAAATTTAACTGGAATAGCTTCATCGAGCTTCTGATTGATCTGCACCATTAAGGAAGTCCAATATGTCTTCAAATCAAAGTCAGCAGCTTTTGATCGGATAGAAACCGAGGAAGGAGAAGCAGCCGTGGAGCAGCGAATAGGAAGAATACGATTACCAGGCTTTCGGAAATGGCAGATGTTTAATGAGGGCAATGTGGAAATTGTAAAAGGAGCCATCTTTAACTCTGCATGAAGTGAAAGAAACATGTTATCAAATGCACTCAATTAAATCTAATATCATGCAACATTCAATCGAATAAAAGATATGCATTTCATCAAACAGTTAGTGGGGATGAAAAATCAAATGATTTCCAACATTAGAGATTTGGTGAATCTAAATTCATATACAAACATACACAGACTAGCACACAAAAATAGAAATTGCAGAAATTTAGGATTGATTTAGGTGGTGAGAGGGGTAAAAACGATAATCAAATCACCAGTGAACGGGAGAAGAAATACAAAGAGTAAAGCTCCGAATTGTTGAAAACGAGAGATTTAGAAATGGTGGAAAAAGAAAGGCGTGGAATTGAGTAGAGAGAAAGAGAGAGTTACCTATAGATATGTTGTGATAAGGTAGTAGTCTGAAAAGGGTAGTGATTTAAGCATCTGTTTCATTATTATAAATAAAAGTTAATTATTATTAAATCATTTAATATTGTAATTTCTAATATTATTTTATTTTTTAACATTTTATTAAATTTAATAAAGAGAATATTATAATAAATTTAATTAATATTTTCACTAAAATTTAAAAAATTAACTATATTTAATTGAATTTCTTAATAATCATAAAAACTAATTTTGTTGTTTATAAATGTGTAAAAATATATATATATATATATATATATATATATATATATATATATATATATATATATATATATATATATATAAGGTAATAGATCCTAAAAAGCAATCATTTCCTTTTCATAAACTCCATTAATTTTTTGTTTGTTTCTTTATAAATAAACAACTACATGTTAGGCATAGCAAGGGGCCCTGCTATTTGTTGGACAGGCCAACCAAGTAGGTTAAAGATGATTTTTGTTTTATTTTTAAATTTAAATTCGAATTTTAAAATAATATTTGTTTTGTATCTCAAATTTAAATAGACATAGAGAATTAAAATTCAAATCCGTCTTAAATAGGTTCAGATTGGATTTAGATATCCTCGTCTCACCACCATCTATTTTCAAAATCAAAGTACATTATAAATAGTAAAATAAAATCATTTCAAAAAAATTCGTATATATATTTTAATTATTTTAAAAAATAAATACAAATCAAATTATCAATATATTGATGACATATTTAATATTTTAAATTATCTAAAATAAACAATAATGTACATAATGAAATAAACGGGACAAGTTCAGGGTGGATACTAGTGTCTCCATTACCCGACTCGTCCCCATATTTTATAATCAGAGAAAACCCAACCCGAACTCAAACTCAATCAAAACGGAGTTTCTCCGTCAACTTCTAAACATGTTCAAATGGATACCCATAGATACGAGTTTTGTTGCCATGCCTACTAATTGTATCAATGTTTTTTATTTATTTTAAACAATAGCAAGTCAAGTCATACACATATTTACTATCTACCCATTACTATTCAAATGACCACTTTGTCAAAATTGCCCCCAAAATAAAATTACACTACATTTTAGACAAATTGGTAACTAACAAATCATCCTTCCACTTTTTACTTTTTTTCCAAAATGCACCACATGTCATCATCTTATTAGTCCAAATTAAAAAATTAGTTTTTCCTCCATCAGAAACTCATTCACTTTTCTCCTTCTTTGTTGAACTCATCAATCTTCATCTTTTCATTCTCTCTATTTTCCATTAAATCCTAACTGTCGTCGCCCCTTCCTCTGGCCACCACTGATTTCGGTTCATCAACAACCCTAACATCGTCGTCATCCCCTTTTCTTCATCATATGTTTACCTCTTTCTTCTGCAAATTTCTGTAAGTGCATCGTACCCCTTTACTACCCTTTATCTTCATGTCTCTCTCTTTCCACGACATTCTTCTTCTCTTTTCTTTTTTCTCTCTCTGTTTTTTACCCATTATTTTCATTCCTGAACATTCTTGAAATGATATCCCTATATTTTAGATCTTGATTCTGAATTCATGCTAACAATGATTCTGACTTCAGATCTCAAGCCTCATTAGAACGTAGCTTGTGGATCAAATATTGTGATTACATTCTCGGGGGCACTTCAGAATCAGAATCTTCAATATGGTACATAGATAGATGTGATATTTATTCAATCTGCAATATATCTTGGAATAATAGTAATGACGCGTTTGTTTGATGCATTTTTAGAAAAAAATTTATCTTAAGTTTAATCCATAGTTATGCAGTATGAAGTGTAGCTCCCGAAACTATACTTTGGAAGTGGCATGTTTCTATTTCTCTATTTGTAAGTAGGCTTTCTTCCTGTCATTTTACTAATTCACTCTATATACATATATTTGTTGAAGTTGCACCTTAGATTTTTTAAAGCATGATTTATGTCTTGCAGATATTTGGAAATTGGTATAGACTCATAACTTACTATTTCACTTAATTGAGTCAGGACTTCCTAGATCTGGCTGTTGAATTTAGATACCACATATTCTCCAAGGAAATGCCTTTGGTATGTTTGCATTTAATTTATATTATCCCCTTGATGCATTAAATTTCTATTAAAAACAAAATAATCTGAGAACTAGGACTGCTCTAACATGCATCAAATCTCTTGTCTTAACATCATCAGGTATAATGTCAAACTTGGCTTCTGGCTTTAGTATATGTGAATATCAAAGTATGGGTTTGTAAATATCAAATTTTATTTCTTAGGGTTTCTTATTCTTCTTAATATATGAATAGATATATGAATTGATTTTTCCTTTAAGTATTGATATCAAAGTATATGTGAATTGATTTTTCCTTTAGGTTTCTTAATGTCCAGTGATGATATTGGCTACCTTGATCATTGGTCTTATAGGGAATTTCCCAATTTATGAACATATATCTGCAATACTCCTGGTTTTAAAACCCGGTGCATTTACGCTTGGTTGAACTAGATCATGTTGTAGTTGCAATAAGAAGTGTTAAAACCTGATGCATTTTTAGTTTTTGAACGAATTTTGATGGAAAACTTTTAGGTAATTTGTAGTTGAAGAAGCGATTCCTGTTATAAAAATGGGATTGATTTATGCATCATAGGTTCCATCAAATAGGCCTGATAGGAGTGAGGTTATCAACATATTGGAGTTGATTCAGTTCCCTTCAGAAGGACAAGAGGAGTTATTATAATGAATTTTGAGAGAAAACAAACAAACACTTAATGAAAGTATTGGTGAAGTAGAATACAGTTTGAAAAAAAGTGATTATACATTTAATTAAGTCAATTTTAATTTTCAACTTATTATTCATTTTTAAGTTGTTGAATTCTTTTTGCTTATCTCATGTTGTATTACTGGATTTTTCTTCACCTGTTAGAGTGTTGGTATAATAATATACTATTTTTATGAAATTCTCTAAAATAATATAGAGATGAATGGGAGATGAATAACAATATACATATGTAGGAGACAAAGAGAAGAAAGAAAGAAATATTATATTATATTCTTCAAGTCCACTTTATATTGCAATATGGATCTTATTTATAGGACATTAGGAATACATAAAGTTTAGGAGTTAAGGAATATAGAAAGTGGGGGTAAATGAACATCCACCTCTATTTACTACTATTCATAACACTCCCCTTTGGATGTTCATTTAGGATATTCCTCGTTAAAACTTTACTAGAAAAAAACCCAGTGGAAAAAAATATAGTGAAGGAAAAAGAGTACAAGATTCTTTGAATGTGAACTGTCTCGTTAAAAACCTTACCAGGAAAACCCAGTGGGAAAAAACCATGGTGAAGGGAAAAAGAGTGCAGAATATATTTATTTCTCTCCCTCATGCATATATTTATATGTGAGATGATATTCTTTGTATTAGTTGCTAAAAAAGTCTTCTTCAAAGTGACTTCATGTAGTGTTAATAGTTATGCAGGATTTTATAAAGTTGTTGTCATGATTTGTTTCACAGATCTCCATGAAATAGTTGTATCATCACATGTAAACGAATAACCTCTTTCTGATCTACCATTGTGATGATCTGACAAGTAACATGCATCTCTAAGATAACGAAATATATGTTGAAGGTGTGAAAAACACAAGAAGGGGGGGGGGGGGGGGGGTTGAATTGGGTTTTAAATCAAAAAAATTGCTTTAAAAATAATCCCCTTTAAATAAAACACGTTTTCCCCACTCTTGATAATAACAATAATTAAGAACAGGAAGTAAAGAACAATGTATGTTTATACTAGTTCACTTGAAAACTATCAAGCTAGTCTAGTCCACCTGCCAAGGTGATTTCGCCTTATAAAACAAGGACTTAATCCAATAATCAAATTGGTTATTACAATGCACAAGCTACCCGCAAGTGACTAACAACAACCTCTAAGACGCACAAGTCCTAGACTTCTTAAGGATACTGACCTAACTGGTCCCTTAAGGAAAATCAAACAATTGTTTGAATGAAGTTTGTTTACAAGAAATTATGCTTCTACAAAAGAGAATATGTAAACAGTAATTTTAGAACATATATTAGAGAAATATGAAAGCATATGAACAAACTCTTTAGATTGTGAATTGAGATTAATTAGCACCTTTTTCTCTTAGTCTTCAATCCATTTATATAGCCAATAAAATAATATATCCGTTGAGGGGTACTCTTGGGATTTTCATAATCTTTGGCAGCTTGAGTTCGTTTTGATTGTACCATGTACTATTGTACCATATTAACGTTATCTTCTTTCCTTATGTACTTCAGAGGCTTCTGCGAGCATGGGCTTAGAAGAGAGAACATAACACTAAGGTCATCAGAACTTCAAGTCTTCAGAGTCTTCATAAATGCATCTGCAGAGTCTTCAGCACTTGGTCTTGAGAACTATTTCTAGAACCTTGGGTCTTCAGAAATTCAAGTCTTCAGAGTCTTCAGAACTGCGTCTTCAGAATCTTCAACACTTGGTCTTGAGAACCTTTTATAGAATCTTAGGTCTTCATAACTTCAAGTCTTCAGAGTCTTCAGAGTCTTCAGAACTAAATCTTTAGAATCTTCAACACTTGG